TATATATATCATAGAAAAAAAAATTATATAGGTATTTCTCTTTTAACTGAAGCAATTCGAGACGGTTTGAATCTGGCCGAAGCGACAACACCACTGTTCTCTTCGCTTCAGTTTAAGCTTAAAATCTGAAGGCTTCAACATAAACAAAACGAATTTTGATAGCATTGGGTGATAATATCCCACCGCATGCATGCTAGAGAGCTCGATCGGTGAGCCCAGCAAAAATGTCCAATCTTTTTTGTGAAAGAGAAGTATAGTGGTTTTGTAAAGAAAATTAAGCTTAGTCAATCGATCGAGAGAGGTTTCCAAATAATTTCTTAAACTTGTTAAGCATGTATCGATTTGGAAACGCACATGGCACTTGCCAGTTTAAAGTTTTGACCCTGACAATTTTATCCGGAGGAATCTTCGTACTGACCCCTAATTTTATTCCAATTTTTTGATGGGAAAAGTTTATAAAAATGTAGAACTACGGATGCACCTCAAAAATCCATTGGAAAAAGTTGTTTAATATTGAAAACTCTCTAATTGATCATCTTGATGTTGAGATGTATGACCATGAAAAAAAAAAGGATTTTGAGTCACAAAAATGGTGCATCTTACAAAACATTATCTAGACTGTCCATTTTCAAGATTTTCATATGTTTATAGATCTACTTGATTTTAATCATTTTTGGAGTTTAAAATTTTATAATTAGATATGAAAATAAATTTTGAGATAAATTTTTACATCAAAATTATACGCTATCATAAAATTTGGAGGTGCGCTTTAAATGGATTGTTTAAGGTTGCAACCTTATGGAAACCACACCCTTTTATGATTGTTCATCCATTTTTTTCTTTTTTCTTTTTTTTTAAGGGAAAAGTTTATATACAGTCCGAGGCTCTAAACAATGAAATTTGAGCTTATCTCAAAAATTTCATTAAAAGAGGTTGTTTTGATATTCAAATATCTTCAAATTGAGTATCTCGACATCAAGAAGCATGGACATGAGAAAAAATAGATTTTAAGTTTTGGAATAGTGTATTTTGTAACACATTTTGGACCGTCAATTTTCAAGATTTTCAAGTTTTCATAGATATGTTGATCTACACTATTTTTGAAGATTTAAACTTTATAAATAAATATAAAAAGATGTTTTAAGGCCATCACAAAGATTTCTAACATTGAAACCACATTTTTTGATAGCATTTGAAGGTAGGCTCTAATTTGATTGTTTAGAGCCTAGGCTCTATACAAACCGTACCCTTCTTTAAATGACATCAAATTTTTTTTTTTTTTTGACAATATTCCATTATTTTATTAATCAAAAGAAATTACAATGCAATCAAGTAATCAAAACATTTCAAATAACCAAATCTTGCATCACACCTCCTCTCTTAGCTAAAGCATTCGCGATTTCATGTCCATCCCCATAAACATCTTGGAAGGTCACAGTCATATCCCGACTCAACTCCATTACTTCCATGCATTCCGACCTTAACTTTCAAAGAGATCTAGAGACACAATTACACCAACTAAGCACATCTAGGGAATCACATTCTATCACACATCCTTCATGTAAGCCTCTATCTTTTAAAGTTTGAAGCCCCTATAGCACCGCAATCAGTTCCGCTTCATTGGCTGCTTTTATAGTACACGGACTTGTGAAGCAAAAAATACACTGTCCAAGGTGATTCCTTACCACACCTCCAAAGCCAGCTGGCCCCGAATTCCCAAAGGAGCTCCCATCACAATTTAGTTTTATACTTCTTAATCCCGGAGCAATTCAGTTTTATACGTCAAATTTTTGCTAAAAATATCGTCAAGCCCCTTTATCCCTTGGGGTGGTGGCAACACGTCGAGACGGGTCGGGTCTAGGTCAACCCGAGTCTAGTCTGGGTCGACCGGAGTTGGGTCCAAGTCATTTGTACCAGGACCACCAAGTTAGGTCGGGTCCAAGTCCAGAAATAAATAAAAAAATTAAGTAATTTATTTTATAATACATGATCAATATTATTTAATATATAATTTATACTAATACAACATCTACTCTCTCTCATTCACATTCACACATTGAAGTCGTTATTTGGCATAAGTAAAATTATTGATATCACATTTTGGGTAAAAAAGTGAAAATTCACACATTGAAGTCGTTATTTGGCATAAGTAAAATTATTGATATCAATTTTTGGGTAAAAAAGTGAAAAAAGATGGGAGGGAGGAGGGGATGAGGGGGTACAATGATAGTTTTAGAAAAAAATTTAATGCTGCTCTCAAAGATAAAAATTGGGAGGGCCTATCGTGAAAGTTGAATGAAAATCAGGATTGTACAAGACTTTACCTTTTATAAGCAATAAGTGAAAGGAAAATGTTTACATGAGGCATTCACAAAATCGAACCGGAACGGTTAACCAGACATGCACTTGGAAGCGGTTTAATCGGCATAACCGGTAAATCGGCCAATTCAACCGCTCTAACCGGACAAGTCCTGGGTGGTCAAAAAAGTGTTAAAAAAATACAAACAAAAAAATCTACTAAAATATGAAAAGCATATAAATAATGATTAAAAAAAAACACATTCAAATGAAATTGAAAATTAATGAAAAAAAAGAATTTTAACCGATTTTATATTTTTCAATGGCTATTTTTTAAATTTTCTAAAAAAGATGGGAAAATATGAAATTGAGTATTAATGACCAAATTTTTTTTTAATCTTTACTATAATGTAAAGAATATTTAAAATGCATTACAAATCAAATTCGTTATTTTTGAGAATCGATATATATTTTTTGAAATTTTTTTTTTAAATACCGGTTGATCATCCTAACCACCCAAAACTGCCCAATTCCGATCTAACCGGGTGGTTAGCGATTAGATCGGGTAATTTTGTGAACAATGTGAGGCATCAACTTTATATTGTAAAATTAAGGTGCACCTCAAAATATTAAAAAAGGTTGTTTTTGAAAAACCCTCAAATTGATCATCTAAACCTCAAGATGTATAAATATGAAAAAATAAGATTCAAGTCCTAAAAATTGTGCATTTTCTAATATATTGCATAGACTGTTTATGTTAAAGATTTTGAAGTATTTGTAGATATGCTAGATTTGCATCAATTTTGCAGTTTCAGATTTCATATTTAAGGGCGAAAATATTTTTAGGCCATTTTAAGAGTTTTCGGCATCAAAACGGCATCTTCCACGAAGCCTTATTTTGATTGTTTAAGATAGAAGCCTTATATAAGGTGCACCAATATGTAACAGGCACTTCTCCCAAGCTTTTACTCTTTAGTGGATGGCCTTTTTTGGAGGACGATTGTTTACAAATCACTTGGATTTTTTATCCCATTTAAAAGACGATGTGCTCTTGAGGCAGCATTTCTTCCATTCACCCTCTCAGGTAAAACCCAATCAAGAGTATATTTTGGCCCCAATTTTCTGCTTTGCAAATTATTTAACCTAGTGACCCTTAAAAATAAAATAAATAAATAAATAAAAAAGAGAAAGAAAGGAAATACACTTGTTATGTTCATATAGAAAATAAGGTTCTATCCAATTTTTGGACTGTTTGGATCTATGTTCTTAAGGACTCGGAATCCATTCTTTTCAAAAATAAGATTTTGTTGATTCATAGGTGATCCAGTTCACTTGAATTCTTTATCCAAGAACTCAGGTGGATCCCAACTCACTTGAATTCTATTTCTTAAAAATGAAAACCAATTTCTTTTTAAATAATCGTCTAGTAATACGTAGATGGATCTCAAGTAACTCCACTTCTTTGTCTGGTAAATAGTAACTCCACTTCTTTTACTTATATTTCTAAAGGAGAAGTATTTCATGCATGAGGACACAGGCCCCATAACATAAGCTAACACATCAAACATTCATCTTAAATGTAAAAAATGGAAAAAATATATCAAAATGATTAATTTATTTTTTATCTTTATATACACCATGGCTGAGATTCTCAACTCCTAAATTTTTGGAGGGAGGACTCACAAGTTAGTGAGGGCGTGGTTTGCATAAGGTTGCAATTTTAAACAATCAAACTAAGGTGTACTTCAGAATTTTGTCATGAGATGTAATTTTGGTATTGAAAAGCCTTAGGATAGTACGAGAATATATATGTTTATCTCTAATTATAAAATTTTAAATTTAAAAAATAATTCAAATCAAATAGATCTATAAACATATGAAAATCTTGGAAATAGACCGTCCAAATAATGTGCTGCAAGATGTATAATTTTTAAGACTTAAAATCTCATTTGTTTCACCATATCTATATATCTCGATCGAGATGATCAATTATTTTTATTTTATTTTTTTGAACATTAGATGATCAATTAAATGTTTTTCAAACTTCAAAACAACATTTTTTAAAAGATTATAGAGGTGCACCTCAATTCTACATTTTAAGGTGTGAACCTTATTTAAACTCCTTACTTTCTTAAAACCCGTGGGAAATTGCGTGTTACAAAAGTGACATGTTCCCAAGTTTAATAACTTTTTAACGAAAGAGAGAGAAGATTTATTTGTTGATATCATGGGTATTTCTGTCATGTCAAGTGAACTATGGTTTTGTGTAAGGGCAGTTTAGTAAATTATTACATAATTTTGATGGTAAGTACCGCAACAGGAAATTAGGGCAAAATGCATTTCTGTATGAAAGCTAAATCCAGACCGTCTATTTTCAAATGAAACGAAATCCATGGCGTCGATGTCCATACAATTTAGGAGCCTCCTGACCGTCGGATCGTGGTGGTGATACACTAACTGCTCCACAAGGCCAACTGGTGTTGTCATTAGGAATCCCAACGGTACAAACTACAAAACAAAGAAACCGCCATTTTCTTTCAATCCATCTCTCTCTGGTTTTTTGGAGAATTCTTTCACTCTCTCTCTCTCTCTCTGGTTTTTTTGAAGAATTATTTCCCTGAGATCACCAGATTCTTGTAAACCAGAAGCTCCATCTGAAGTCACCTGAACGACTCCATTGACTGATCATCTCTATCTGTCTCTCTCTCTCTCTCATGGCTTTCTTAAAGAACCGCTGTAATGAATTCACCACATTCATGGGCGCGCAAGGCCCTGCATTTTGCCTGTTCGGCCTCTTGCTCTCCATCATCGTTCTCCTTGCCTTCCTCGCCTTCAGTACCCCTTCAAACCACATCTCCCCAAAAGACCCCTGCTCTTCTTCCCTCTTCTCCATGCCCACCACTACCCCTAATGGAGAAACTCTTCCCCCACTAACAACCCAATCTAACCCTGAGGGAAAACCGCTTTCTCCACCCATAAACCACTGTGACCCCAACGGGAACCAACTTTCTTCCCGGTCAAGAGACCATACTGATGATCATAATGGGAAACCACTTTCTTGCACCTCAAGAAATCAGACCGGCCATGACGGAAAACCACTTGCCCCACCAAGAAACGAGAAGATCCCGGCCACTACCACTTTCTGCCTGCCCAAAAACCACTATTACCCAGCCTGGAAACCACCCAACTCAACGGTAAACCGCTTGGAGACTGATAAAATCTTGGATTCCTACTTGCCTTTTAAGAGAGGAGAAAGGAGGGGGAAGAATGGATTTCACAGAATTTTGAGGACGTGTGATATATTTGATGGGAAATGGGTTTCTGATGAGGCGTATCCCTACTACGAGGCAGGATCGTGTCCCTTCCTGGATGACGCCTTTAACTGTGCAAAAAATGGACGGCCAGATTCTTCTTATGAGAAGCTGAGGTGGCAACCAAGAGAGTGTCACATACCCAGGTATCATCCCCCTCTCTCGATTTTGTTGACTTGTGAGTGAAGTCCTTTTTGGGGTTTGTGGGAGATCTTTGCATCATACAGTCACCTGTAATCTTATTGCTCCTCATGTATTTGTCATTTGACACTGTTTTCATGGAAAATTAATAAATGTTGGAAGAAGCATATAATGAAACCATTTTTTTTTTTTTTTGTAAGATGGTCATGACCATTGAATATGAAATTGGATGGTTGTATTTATTGCATTGATCAAAGCTCAAACTTCAAAAGAAATTTTAAAAAAAATTTGAGGCACACCCAAACTATCATATTTCACGTTATAGATGGTTAGAAGTCTTTGTGACATCATTATATCAAAAATAAATGAGCTCATTGTAGACAACACCTAAATTCTATGAATTAGAAAACATAATAGGGTTATTTGCTTGACCCACCTCCTTGTTATTTTTGGCTTTACTCGTTTCAATGTATTTCCTAACTATTTCGAAAAACATAGGAAAATTTACGTATTGATAAAAAAATAAACCAGAAAATACAAAAAGATCTATTTATTTCAAAAATTACATGGAGCGTCGATCCCTTGTATTTTTGTATTCCTCTCTTATCAGTTTGATGTTGCCAACATCGGACTGGTTTTATTTAATTTATTTTTTATTTACTCAAATGCAAGGTTGTCCTATGTTTTAGGGCACTTTGATATTGGTATGATGTCGTAATTATCGAACAAGTTGGAAATGCTATGTTTGTGGCGTTAGGTCATAGTGACACCGGTCTGAGATCCCAAGGTTTAAACTGCATGCTGGATTCGGAATTTTCTAACCGATTCGATGTCTTCGACGTTAGACGATCCATTTTAGGGCAGTCCGATAAATTCGGACATCGGTATGCCGTAAAACACCGGACAACCCTACGTTTGAAAAAACCAAAAACTAAACATTTAAAACCAGTCAACTGTTGGTAACATTGGTCTGAAGGACAAATTAGGAAAATAGAAAATTGCAACCTTCCACGTAATTTTTTAGAAAATAAGGATCTTTCCATATTTTACCCTTTAGTGTCCGTGTATAATTTTTCCATTTTATAAATTAGAGAAGTTTTAAAATTGTCCAACCCGTGCTCTCTCTCATTCTTGTTGACTTGGTTTTATTTGCAGGTTGGATGGGTTGGAGATGCTTGAGAGACTGAGAGGAAAGCGTCTGGTGTATGTTGGGGACTCACTGAATAGGAACATGTGGGAATCCATGGTCTGTATATTGAGGGCTGCTTTACCTGATAAGACCAGGGTTTTTGAGATTTCTGGGAAGCAGCAGTTCAAAACTGAAGGTTTTTATGCCTTCAGGTTTGCTGTAAGTCTCTCTCTCTCATCAGGGCATTATGGTAAATTCCACTCATGGTAATCTTTAAAGACATTGTGTGTAATTTCTATAGCAAATTTTGTTACATTATTTACCATATATATTCCACTCATGGTAATCTTTAAAGACATTGTGTGTAATTTCTATAGCAAATTTTGTTACATTATTTACCATATATATATATATATATATATATGAAATGAAGGTGGTTTTATAGAGAATGTGCACAACAAATTTATTGAGAAGAGTTAACAGTAATACGTTGAGTTATTTTGGTTTCAACGATGAGATGATGAAAATAACCTCGTCTTGGAGAAACAGGATTACAACTGCACGGTGGAGTTCTTTCGAGCCCCATTCCTGGTCCGAGAATGGAAGACCCCCGATCCTGGTAGTGGGGCACGTAGGGAGACCCTGAGACTCGATGTCATTGAGAGGTCTTCATCAAAGTACATAGACGCTGATATGATCATCTTCAACACCGGCCATTGGTGGACTCATGATAAAACCTCTAAAGGGTATCTCTCTCTCTCTGGGTTTTCGATAAACTCTATTTCTCATGAGCAGAATTACATACGTTAATAGGTGAGTCTGATCAATTTATAAACTCTAGTCCACAAACTTTCACCATAAACAGGTAACTAGTGAAGTCTGATCTAGTTAAAATTAGTCTAACCACTTGTCAAATCCGTTGGCCTAATTTAAGAAAAATTAAAAATAAAAAAATATAGTGTTAAAGATATAATATATTAAAAAATTTACCAACCTTATTTAGCCCAATCATGACTGATCAAGACCAGTTGGATTTTAATCAGTTTTCAACTAAACTCTTTTTTGTCTTGGATTAAAACTAGCTAAGGCAACAGCTGAACTAG